TGATTTTTATATTACTTCCTGCCCAGATGCAGCTAATACTATAAAAATGTATACTGAAGACGACAAATGAAAGACAATGTGCAAATCCCTGGACAAAGCACTAATTTATTATACAACCTTCAGTGTACTCCATCAGTGGAGTACATAACTTCTGAAGGACCTTATATCAGTTGTCTGATCTCATGTCCTTCTGCCTTTTCTACCTGTTCATTTGGAATATTTCTCTACACATATGGCACTAACCTTCCTTGTAAAATCTTAAGCAAAACTTTGGTTGTATAATAAATTAGTGCTTTGTCCAGGGATTTGCACATTGTCTTTCATTTGTCGTCTTCAGTATACATTTTTATAGTATTAGCTGCATCTGGGCAGGAAGTAATATAAAAATCATCCTGTTCCAGATGAATCTTGCTTTAATAACAAGATATAACTTAAGTCTAATTTGACTGGTATTTCTGGACTCATTGTCTTGAGTTCTGGTTTGTTTTTTGATCCTATCTTCTAGTTTATGTTTGGGTGCTGATAGCTGTTTGAACTTAGTTGTTGCTTTTTAAGTTTAAAGCTGTTGCCTATGACTGTCTGACATGCTACCATTATTTGAGATACAGAATCTACCCATGCAATATCTTGCATTTGTGATTTTGCTGATTTGGTCTTTCATTCTTTCTTTTAATTTTCTTTGTGATCCTCATTGTTCTCCAACCCTGGATCTCATTTCATGGTTTCTGAGATGGTTTTAAGGGAAGCGTGGAAAACATTTATCTCTCAGAATCTTTTACCATCATTATTCTCAGAGTTCCAAAAAGGAAAGGTTAAGCCAAAAAAAAATCAGCTCTTCTCACTGGACCAGACCGAGACGTAGCCTCCTGAAACCATCTGGAATGCTGGCAAACATAGTTTTGCCAAATTTTCTAATACTATCCAACCAAAAAACAAATAGTAGCCAAGTGATTTGATGGAAAAAAGAGGAAATATGCATCACTTTATATAATAGTAATATGACAAGAACGTGACATATTAATGGCTCTATCAAGATAAAGGAAATGACTAACCTTCAAATAATAGTATCCAATTACACATAGGAAAGAAATAATAGTATGAATAATAGCAAGTGCCCTAAGTGTTGGAGCCATATAACCTGTGCTCTCTTGTAAGACAAAGAACACCATTCCTTCTTCATCCTCATCTTCATCTAAAGATTGCCATAAATCAGAATCTTCTTCCATTTCTTCCAATGGTTCTTCTGTCACCTGTCATTCACACATACACACATTCTTCTTACGGGTATGTAACAACACATTCCTAGATAATGCTTCTCAAAGCCATAAAAATACATAAGATACTACTGTAAACACAGCATAAGTTATTGAAATATAAAATCGGTGGATTAGTGGGGTAGCAATTCAAATGGCTTGCTACGAGTCTCCTTGTTGCAAGCATACTATATTTTTCTATTAATTAGTGGATGACAATATAAAATATTATAATTGTCTCAAAGAAAACAACCGAGGTAACAATAGAATCATCCTGTTCTACCAGACTGTAAGTCCTATAACAAAGATAGTATATATGGGGCCCATGGAATACTTTAAATTGTAAAACATTATTATTGAGGTTTAAAATAATAGAATAGAAACCAATCATAACATAAAAAATATGCCACTAAGATTTTTCACCTCTTTGCGATTGAAAATGAATTAGTAACTTATTGATGGATATGGAAATAGATTCTATGGAGTTGGTGGAAAGAAAGGAAAAATGTTTCCTATCTTCCTGTCCCTTGTAATCCCCAGAATGATTTTCCAAGCCTCTTGAAGGATATTTCAGAACAGCTTATAAATTAATGTTGGAGGTTGCAGAGAAAAGAAAGAATTTAAGAAAGTATTACCAATTGTTCTTCTGCTTCTCCTGGAGCCCAATTCTTTGCAAATAGATGGAACTGTTTATGCATCAATGTATTTGGAATATTCAAGCTATAATATTAGTATCACTTTCATTATCTAATTTATAGTAATAATACTGTATCTGTAGCTAAGATTTTCAATGTTGTAAATATCACTGAAAATTTAGACACTATGCATAGGATAGATATATTTACATTACCTTGTAAAAGAGGAGAATAAAATTGATGGCAAAGGCAACAAAAAGTGCAAGGAATCTTAAATTGTAGAAATTTCTTGCCAAATAGTGCTGGAGAAAAATAAACACATAAAGAATGTAATTAATTCATAAAGAAGGTTCAGACCTAAAATGATATATAATGAAATCTATATAATTTTTCAAACTGCAAATCATAATAACTATTTGTTTCAAACTGATTCTATTAATGTTAATTATATTTCATGTCAAATTTTTCTTTCCCTTTTCAATCTGTCTTACAAAAGGCCACACAGAGCCCAGTTATTAAGTTTAAAATAAAGGTAAAGGTTTGCCCTGCCCATTCATGTCCAACACTAGGGGGCAGTGCTGCCCTCCATTTCTTAGCCAGCATTGTCCAAAAACACTTCAGTGGTCCTGTGACCAGTTTGACTATATGCTGAGGTACATGTAATGTTGCTACCTTCTCACTAAAGTGGTACCTATTTATCCACTTACATTCATGTTTTTGATCTACTAGCTTGCCAGGAACTGGGACAAGTAACAGGAACTCTACCCTGTCTTGAACCTAGCCTGTCAGCTTTCCAGTTGACAAGCTCAGTGTGTTTAACCGCTGAGCCCTCACAATCCCTTTTAAGTTTAAAATGTTATTATTTAAAAGAGATTCAACATACCAAAACTTTTGTCTGATAGATCTCCAGTACTTTAAAAAAATTAGCCATAACTGCTTCTGGCTTCTCTAACTTGTGTCCATGTCGTTTTCTTTTCTTAGGTTCTTCAACTTCCAAATATTCGGAGTTTACATCATCCTTTATCTTATCATGTTTTTCACCATCCTCCATGCTATAGGAAATGACATGCTATGAATTAGATTTTTACAATGCCCAGATATAAACCATGGAAAGTCAGACGTTGTACAAAGTTAATTAAAAAGTAAACATTTAGGACAGATGAATGTGAAGACATGCATTTTTCAATATACATATATGAATTTTTGTAATGTCCCAAAAAGCATTTTATATACAAATGTTAATGAATGCATGCATTCTAGCAATTTCCCCTGTTTAATCTTTTCATTTGGCAAGGCAAACAACATTTAGAGAAGTACAAAAGCTGCATAATAGTAACATTTTAATTGCATATTACATGGAAAATACAAATTAGTAGGATAAGATTGGCCAGGATCAGCTTTTAATTGCCAATTTCCTCTGTATTAGCACACTTATCCCATTAAAATTTCCAATCAGATGTTTGTTGTGCATGAAGGTGCCTTTTAATATATTCCCATGGTTTACATTCTACAGTTGCAGCGCTTGCAAGACATAAGAATTTCTCTGGGCTAATACTCCATAAACAAAAGCTTAATAGATGATAACAATTGAAAATATGCAACAATAATGATCAAATGTGTAATCAGTTTTCAAACTACAGTGAAAACATATCACATTTATTACTTTCTTGACTTTGAAATTTTGCCTCTTAATACTAGTAATCTTGCCAATGACAGTCAAGGGGATTGTGTACACATATACAGTATATGGTGAAACAGCAGTTGCATAACAGTTTAAATATTATATAGTTTGAGAGTAAGTATAAATGCATTTCTAATGTAAGGAGATTTAGATAATTTTAAATATAAAATTTATTTATTTTTTAAATTCAAAAGGACAAATTATTGTGTTGATATAACTAAAAAAGGAGTGCAAATGTGAACAAAACCATACAGGTGTCATTGACTTAGGACCATTTGTTTAGCAATCATTCAGTTGCAATTGCTCTGAAAAATGTGATTTATCACATACATAAAACTACTGTAGAATTTCTGCAGTCATATGACTGTAGCCCAGGGTCTTAGCAATGGGCTCAAGTCAGTGGTGGGTTCTGGATCCCATTGCAACCAATGGGACTTAACAATCACACTACTTAACAACGTAAGACTGTCCGTAATTAAGATGTATTTATTTATTTTTGCTCTTGGATTAAATTTTCAGGCAATTCTATAAACTATCTCTATTAATAACAAAAATATTTTCTTTGATTTTCAAGTGTTTTGTAAGAAAGCAACAGTGACAAAGGTGTCATTGAAACCAAACCCAGATTCTTTTGTACTGCTAATTCTACAAGGCATCAGCTGATTACCTTTTTTTATCCATTTTTGGGGGACACTTCAAAAATTGTTATTTGTACTATTTACTAAACCATAATAAGGTTTTCTCTCTAAAAGCTATATTGTGGTAAGCTTCCATCACAACGATTGCCATTAGTCATTGGTGTCAGGATTTAACTTTGCTTTGCTTTATCGAATGCATTTTTTATTGATGAATGACCAAAGTTTATGTCTGTCAATTCCATTAGAATTAACTGGAGTTAAAATATGGAGGGAAAAGTTGACTGTTTCATTGTACAATTTTTAAACACCCTCATTCCAAATATTCATAAAGTTTCTTTAACCACATTTTCTAACATTAAAAAAAAACAACACAACAGTGTTTAACTATACATAGCTTACTCAGCCTTCTCAGATTCTGTTCTTGTTTCTGATTCATCATCCCTTGTAACTTCAGGTAGCTGAAATTTTTGTAAAATATACAGAATTTTAATATTATGATAATATTATCCAATTAATTATGAATGTTTTAATTAATTAAAACCATGTTGATGACTGTTTGCCTAAAAATGTTGTGTGTAATGTTGTGTGTTTGTGTTTATACACAAAATGTTTTGTGTAAAAATTTGTACATGGCTTGGGACCAGGGTACCTGAGGGATCTCCTTTTTTCCAGAGTTTCTATCTATACAACTAGATCAAACAGGGTGACCATGCTGCAGATCCAATCAGCCAAATAATGTTGGCTGACGGGAGTAGAAGACAAGCTTTTTCTATGGCAGCTCCTTCTCTATGGAACCTCCTCCCTTCAAAGATTAGAATGACCCCAACCAGTGGTGGGTTCCGGACCCTGTTGCAACCAGTACACTGTGCACGGGGCTGGGTGTCCTAGTCGGGTATGCATGCTACGCTCACATGTGCATGCCACCTCCCTGCGACACCAAGCTGCTCAGCGGAGGTCACGCAGATACCACATGCTGTGCGTACATGCACAATTGGCTAGTTGCCTTATAAACAGCTATGGAACACGGGCAGGTGGGTGGACCAAATGAGCCACCATACTGGTACGGTGGCTGCTGCTCCCGGCTACTACTGGTACGGCCATACCGTGCCTTACTGGCCGGAACCCACCACTGACCCCAAACTTGTTAACCTTCCATAAAGTTTTAAAACCCATCTATGCTCCTAAGCCTGGGGCGCTACATGTGCCAAGGGATTCACCTCCTGGCTGCATAGTTTGCAGGTCAGATGACTTGCTTTGTATTTATTCAAATTAGATGCTTTATTTTTTCATTGTTTTAATGGTTTTTACTGTTTTTATTGTTTTAAAATGTTTAAAAGATTTTAAGATAATATATGTTTTTGAATTGTGAGCTGCCCGGAATTGTTTGCAAAGATGGGTGGCTATAGAAATTAAATTCAGAAGATTTCTTTAAGCCTTACCCAGTATATTTACCTCTCTCTGTATATATTCGCCTTCACGGTCATTCTCTAATCCCTGTTTTTTAACAATATTGTGTGACCTCCCAGTCTTCTTTATTGGATGGTTTCAGGCACTGGGGTAGGGGTAGAGAGGTCAGACATTCTCTTATGGCAGGGGTAGTCAACCTTTTTATATCTACTGCCCACTTTTGTATCTCTGTTAGTAGTAAAATTTTCTAACCGCCCACCGGTTCCATAGTAATGGTGATTTATAAAGTAGGGAAGTAACTTTACTTTATAAAATTTATAAAGCGGAGTTACAGCAAAGCCCTACCGCCCACCATGAAAGCTGGAACGTCCACTAGTGGGCGGTAGGGACCAGGTTGACTACCAATGTCTTATGAAATGCAGTAGGCGTTGTTATTCTCTGATAGCTTTTTAAACATTTACATGAACTCCCTGGAAACCCTCTGTTAATTTGAGGTGCAGTATGATTTGTAGACTGATTATTTCCAATTCTACATTGCCACCCTAAGTCAGACAGTAGATCTTGCTAAATGTCCTGTCCCAATGACTGGAGTCCAAAAAAGACAATGTCAAACATTGGGGTTGCTGTATCAAAAATGGAAGCCATTTGGTTCCTTCTCAGACTTCTTTGGTAGCAAGCAGAATCAGAAATCATTGTTTTAAAGAATATGTGCCTTGAAGCTCTGATTAATAACTCTTATTAGAAATAAATTGAAAATTCTAAGATAAGGTTTTTAGTGAGCTCAGACAAGAAAGCAATCTAGAGATAAATTAAACAATAAAATTCTGATTCTTTTTTGTGCTTTTTCTGAGGTACAATGCGGGACAAATGTCTCTTTTTGAAGGCCTATAGATGGTTTTGAAAATGTCTACATACTAGACTTCTTATCAGCGTGAGAACGAATGGCATCCTGCTCTCCATCCCACCCTTAAGAAAAAATATTGTGCTGCTGAAAAGTTGCAAGTTTGGCTTCTAAATGTAAGTGATATGATACTGGGATGCTGCACAGCCGCATTAAGGCCATGGGCTGCGCATGCAAGAGGTGTAGAGAAATAGAAGCCATCAGGTGACTTACAACATTATCAGATAAATCTTTCTTTCCAGAGGAATGGAATATAGCAGCAGCAGTAATGGCAACACCATAGAGAACAGATTGAATATTTTAGAATGACTAATTGAGTAGAATCACCAATGATAATAATACACCAAGAAGCTATTGGGGTGGGATGGGATAGCACCATTATTTGTACTATCATATGGAAACATAGACTTTACTGAATGAATTTTTAAAACTTGAAAAAATTTAAGACCTTTAAAATATATCTCAGCATAGCTTCAATGGTCTTTTAATGCATCATATTACACTGTCACAAATATTTTAATAGAATTTATAGAATTCTAATTTTTAATCCTATATATATATATATGTGTGTGTGTGTGTACGTACGTATGTACGTACATACATACATACATACATATATAATCTATCTTATCTCTCTCTTTATCTCTCTGTCTCTCTCATCCACCCACCCAACCACCCATCCATCCATCCATCCATTCATCTATCATACCCAACACCTGCATTGTTTTACCTACCTGAATTTTCTTCTTCTTACGAACTGCACTTTCCAAAGAAGGGGGTGTTTCTGATCCAATAATACCAGCAATGTCCCCAAGGCCAATATCATGACCATGTTTCGATCCACTTTCTTTTTTTGTATAAATATCAAAAATATCTGATAAGAGATCACTTTCTCCTTTTTCTTTTTTTACAAATTGCACGATTTCAGCCGCAATGCCATGTTCCAAAATGTCTACTGCTTCGAGCACATCATCATGAATTCCAAACTGTGTTGGATCAGGCATATCTCCTAGAATTTTGGTAACTCTTATGTTTTTGGCCCCTTCAACTAGGCCATCACCAAACACTGTACTCCAAAGGATCTGAAAAATGCTCCATATCATAGTAAGAAACATTTGGAAGAATCCTATAAATAGCATCCAAAGAGAAGAAAAGGACACTTTCACCAGTTCTTTAAAGGTCATTTTTTTCACTTTTCTATATTGTTTCCTTAGATTTTTCAGTCTAATGATCTTGAGAATTGTGGCAGCATATTTCTTTACTGCATCACATGCCATTGCAAATGCTGAAGCTGATTCAAAAGATTGTTCTTCTTTCTCGTCTTCTCCAACCTCCCTCAGACAGCAAGCTTCATTCTCTTCCTCAATTCTGTCAATTGTATCAGTTTCAGAGATCTGAGAAGCCAACTGCATTTCAAAAATGGTGTCCTCACAGAAATTGACAAAAAGCTCCATTTTTTCTTGCTCTCCACCTTCATTTACAACATCAAAAATAAACTGCCTTTTTGATTCTTTAACTTGGGGCTTTTCCCACTGGGTCCTGCTGGATTCACTAATCTCAAAATAAACCCGTTCTATCTTCTTGGCACTACCCATGATCTCAATGCGTCCCAGATAAGGTTCAAAATAATTTAGGACACTTTCTGCCGGATGTAATAGAGTTTGAAGGCGTGAATCATTTGGCATATGTTCTGAGAGATTTGTTAAGAGCACTGCCACATTAAACCCAATATCTTTGGCTGGCTTGTGAAATCTTTCAACAAAATCAACATAGTTAAACATATCATTTTCATCAGTTTCTGCACAAGACAGCAGAAAGTCAATTTCTGATTGCATATACTGCTTCTGACCTTCCATGGCTTTTTGAAATTCCTTCTTTGATATTATTCCTTTTCCTTCGGAATCATACTCTTTGAAGGCTTCTGAGCTTGTTAAATCTTTCAGCTTGAGAAACATGTCAAAGAACTTCAAAATCATTTCTACGTTGCTAGACGACTCGACCAGTGTATCTACCATCTGTTTGCCAATTGTGCCGTTTACAATGTTACCTAAATCACAAATGTAATCATTATTTAATTGAAATGCATACATAATGTTTAATGTATAATCACCTTTAGAAATGATTACAACTATTTCCAGTTGTATAATGTTGCTTTCAATTAGCTTTGCAACCACTGTTCAACTATATGTTTAAATCTATTGCAATTTCTTTTTCAAGTTACAAGGCAGAATTACTGTTGTAGATACAATAGCTTAAATTGAGAAGGTTTTTTTTTCAAATTAATTTTATTGTGGCTTATAGGAATGGAAGGAATAACACTTTAAAAAGATTCCACCTTCAAGCAGTGACAACAGCATCACCACCATATCCTTCAGAAGATCCAGTAATTTCTTCAGCAATTCAATTTGGCTGGAATCCTAAGATACAAATAAAGTTAACATTTACTGTTAAAATGATCTAAACAACATCTCAATTTACCATGGTTATGTTTTACATGATTGGAACCAATGAGCTATATGTGTATGGCAGAATGCTTGTGCAGAAAATGCTTTCCAAGGTAAGGCATAGAACAATGAAAGCTACCTTATCTATTCCATTGAGGATACATGGCAATCTACCAACTCCAGAGTGTCAAGCAGCAATCTTCCATAGCAGCTGTTTCCTTTTAACTAAACACCTTAGAGGCCGAATCTGAGATCAACTCAAAGAAGGCACTTTGGAACCAAAGAAGATAGCAGAAATTTTATAAATAAATGCAGCTGATCGCTGAACTACTATGCCAGGTAAAAGGATATATGGAATAACACTGCCCAATTACACTAAAAGATTTCGGTGCCTGGGTTATATTAAGATGGCCCATGAACAAGATGCCACTTTCAAGATCAAGGCATTATATCATTATCCAGTTTCTTCTTTCCCATAATGTCTGCATGTCTGTGAAATCTGCCCCAGAAGATTAGACAATTATCCAGAACAGTATAAGACATATTAAGAAGGGTTGGAAAAGAAATAGGAATAGCAAAAGCTGCCTTTTAGTGACAGGAAATTATTCAGTGAATGTCTGGAAGGAAATGGATCCATGCCATTTTTTTAAATGTATGCCTTCTCAAGAAACATAAAAGGGACATTTCCTAAGACACATAGGAAGTACTCTTGATGTTGGAATAAATAGGATAATGTGATGGACATTGGCAGATAAATTACACATATTGTAAAGAACTATCTTGTGCTAGACATTTTATTTTTGCTTTTTTTTTTACACAAAGTACATTAAACTATGGGATTAACTAGCATCAGTGTATTGAAAGAAAGAAAATATATGAAGAATCGGATTATCAATTGCTGCTAATCTTATTAACTATCTACCATCTCTTGAATCAGAAGCAGCCTACCTTAAATACCAATTGTCAGGGAGTAACTAGTAGAGAGTGATTTGTCTTCTATACACACTTTTGGGCTTTCTTGGTGCATTTAGCTGGCCAACCTGTGATTTATAATACTAGATCACAACAGCCTTTGTTTAACCTTCTAATCAAAGTCTTACATTGAAATAATAGAAAATACTTGTTGCTTGGATTTTAGATTTTGGTAGTGGGTTTGCTCTCCGAGCTTGTCATTTAGTTCCTGAATGTTTCATTACCAGGCTGGGTAACATAATCAGTGGGAGTTTTGTAGAAGTGTTTTGTCCTATTCCTCTTTAGCTTATATAAACAGCAACATAATATACAACATATACAACATTATACAGCATAAAAAAATTGCAATAATTGTAAACAATTCTATGTCGGAAAAAGAGGAAGATAATTGAAAACAGGAATTCATGAACATTGGCTAGCAGTTAAACAGCATGACCAAAAATCCCTGATCTCAAGCGAACATTGACAATGAACACCACCAGTTTTATTGGGAAGGAACAAAAATCATCAGCCATGCCAACATCTGCCACACGCATGAATTTATTGAAGCCTGGTACTCTACAAAAGGATAATTAACAAGCATATTTATTTAGATCCAGCATATGAACACGTGAGAAACCAGACCATTTAAATGACCGATCAACAAGGAACCAATCAGCATCTCAGAATTTAAATATAGCACCAAACAAATGGCCAACTGACCATACTGGCACACAAGACATATACATGCTAAAGAAGAATAGGACAAGACACTTCTAAAAACTCAAACTGATGATGTTACCTAGCCAGGTAATGAAACATTCAGGAATTAAGTGGCAAGCTCTGAGAGCAAACCACTATCAAAATCTCCATGTTCTTAAGTTCTAAGTGATCTTTGTTGTGCTTCAATCCTGTGTTCACTTAAATCAGAAATCCTGACTCTCTAATAGATCAAATTTGAGCTTCCCCATTTCAGGTGGGGAACCAGCAACTCTGGTTTAATTCAAATCAGGATTACAGCACTTAATGCAGCATACAGAATGTCTGTGTGTATGTGTGGTGGGAGACTGGTGGGAGACTAGTGGGAGAAATAAGCAGGCATATGAATGTGATGCTTATTTCTATCTCCACAAACCTTACTTTATGAAATATGAAATAAAATGTATACACTTGATCAATTCTTTTACATTTTCAGCAAAGATGATGAATAAAATCTACCTGTGAAAGCTTCATTTGCATGTTAGCAAAAACATGGAGAAAGCCAACAACCGCATCCCATAGTCTACTGTGAGCCAAACTCTGCTGATTTCCAATGCAAGGGCCCTACAATTAAAGAATGATGTTTTAAGTTTTCTTTTTAAGCACCTATGCCAATACGTATTGTTATTATTTAATTATTGATAGCATGCTCTAAATCTACAAAGAACTGACAACTTAGCAACAATGAACAATATAAAGCTTAAAACACACAGTAATGATACAATATACTCTAAAGCTGTGATGGCGAACCTATGGGCACGCGTGCCATTGCCAACTGCTCTTCTGGTTTCCGGCGCACCAGCTGATCTTTACACATGCCGGAGCCCCAGAAACCTGAAGACGAGATGGTCTTCGGGTTTCTGGCACTTCGGCATGCGCGAAGACCAGCTGGCACACTGGAAACCAGAAGAGCAGCTGGATGGCACGTTCATTACAGTTTGAGCACTCTGTGCCAAAAAGGTTCACCATCACTACTCAAAAGCATGAGATATAGTAGCAATGAATAAGAACTGTAACAAAATCATAAAATAATTTGATAATATGTATGTATTAAAATAATCAAAACTACTCTGTAAGAACTTCTAGAAATCTGTTATTGGCAGGTCATACGTAGCAGCTTCTAAGAGATGCTGTTCCATAAAACTAGATCATAGCAGAAAAGACACAAACGAGGGTATGCAATGAGCAAAGGTAAATGGAAAAACAACCTGAAACAAAATGAAATTGGATGCAACTATTAGAAGGCGAGAAGGCATTTTGAGACAACTTTCTGCAGGTGAAATACTATGAATGAGGATTTGCTTGAACTGAAGTTTTCATTAAAACTCTGTCAAAGAATTAATTCTCTTTATATCCCCGTCCAATTCTTTAGCTTGGAAGGAAATATATATTTTTAAGAGATGTAAAATCTCAGTTTTCTCTCCCCACCCCAACTACCATATATAAAAAGATCTGGGAGAATAACACACCAGTAGTGTGTTTAGCCAAGGTGGCGCAGTGGTTAAATGCAGCACTGCAGGCAGCACTGCAGGCTACTGCTAGATCAGCAGGTCAGCGGTTCAAATCTCACCGGCTCAGGGTTGACTCAGCCTTCCATCCTTCCGAGGTGGGTAAAATGAGGACCCAGATTGTTGGGGGCAATATGCTGACTCTCTGTAAACCGCTTAGAGAGGCCTGAAAGGCCTATGAAGCGGTATATAAGTCTACTGCTATTGCTATTGCTATTGCTAGTCCCAAAGGAGTTTTTTTCAAGAGTCAACTGAACCTTCTGGTGTTTCTTTGAAGATGTTTCGCTTCTCATTCAAGCAGAGCTGAAGAAGCTTCTTGGATAAGAAGCAAAAAGTCTTCAAAAAACAAACAAACCCCAGAAAGTCTTCATCTTAGACTTAGAATAACTTTATGGTCACTTTAAATCTACACTAATCAGCATATATTAAAATCAAACTTCATTGCATACAGCTCTCAAAGGTCACCACCTCCAATATACACTACATAAACATGACTAAATAAACAAATATGCATACAGTATGCCCACATATATTATATGACACAGAGAAACAACACAGTCTAGTTCAGATGTATACATGTACATGGTGAGAAAAACAAATCTTGAGAGTTTACCAGATGGATGGCATAGGGAACAAAGCTGTTACAGACTCTGATAGACCTGCTAGAAATACTTTGAAACCTCCTCCCAGAGCAGAAACAGAAACAGACCATAAAGTGCTGTAAGCACATAGCGCTTATAAGCAGCATCTTAAATAACGGGAAGTGGCCTTCCTATAATCTTCTCAGCTGTTCTCACCACTCTCCGCATGGCTCTTCTATCTGAGGCACTGCTGCCACCAAACCAAACAGTGATGCAGTTTGTTAAAAAGTCCAGTTGCCTCTTGAAAAAGCACCTTTGGGACAACCATGACCTGGATGACTCAGAATCCCCATAAAAATCCCCTGTAGATATTATCTTCATTCTTTCTTTCCTTATTTATTTGTTTAAAAATGATTTTACAAATGGTAGTAATAATGAAATTCCACTAATTCCAGTAAACCTTTAGCATCCATTCATGTCATCCATCCATTCATTCATGTCAGCAAATATTATATCAAACAGAAAGATTTTACCTACTTGTATATATTCAGTTAGTGAATTAAAAATCTGTTTGGTTACAGCCAAAGCCTTAGAGAAGTTATGTTGTCCAGATTCATCAATTATATCTTTGCCAGAGTAGTACCAATAAAAATCACTGATTGATTCCTAAGAAAAAATATGTAGTTTTTCCTGTATATATTAATGAAGTAATAATCAAACAGTATTCCAAAAACAAATAGTATATATATGTATCATTTTTATATTTCTCATTTTTCTAGTTATTATGTTAAAATCTGTATCTATTCCAATGAATTCTGAATGCAAACAATAGCAAATAGAAAACTATTCACTTAAAAAAAGTCCAAAAGAGCATATTTTATTATTTCAGTCACTATACACTACTTTAAAACACCTTGTATACTGCCTTTCAATTAAGTTTAGTTTTCGATGTTAAACAATGTAACAAATTGTTTTACATCACAATAGGCATTTAAAACACTTTGAAACAAAACACTCTTAACCCAAAATATACCTCTATACAAACTGTAAGACATAATGAGCAGATTTATGCTGTTTTTTAAATGTTCTTGTAGAAAAGAACCATTTCTCCTGGCCCTGAAGAGATACTGAGGTCAGAATCAAATAAAACCAGCTGGAAAAGTGCTCCAAAACCAGGATTCCAACCTAAATAGGGTTTAACTTCTGATAATATAATTAGAAGAATTACTAACTTACTAACTTTTAAAATGTAGATTAAAAAATAATTTAAAAAACAGTTAATGTATGACTGCATGACGCACCTACTTAAATCCCCGCTTCAGCTTTTCTAGCCCTAGGCACAGTAAATAAACTGACTTTAATTCCCAGAATTCATAGCCATGACAAAGCTGTCTGAGTAATTATGGAAATTCAAGACTTTTGTGGCTAGATTAGAAAAGGCTGCTTTACTTAAATATCCTGCCTCTTGAGTCATGATCTGGATGCTAATAATCCTGGAGCCTAGGTTTCACATTCCTGGGAATTGGATGGAATCAGTTGACAAGTTCCCAATCAACCTGTCCAAACAAATCCCTTCTTTTTAGTTTTGCAAGTCTCTTGGACTGATATTTAAGTGCCTCAATGAGGTTGGCCCAAAAATCCCTAAGCATCAGTGTCTTTACTGCTGTATATAAAACCAGGGGAGGTTTGAAAATCAAGCAGCAGCTTATTTGTTTTCTAAGGAAAAGAGCATTCATTTTTAATTCCCTCACAGCGTCTGCAAACATAAAGCAAAGCAATATTTTAAAAATCAATTTTTCCTCAGAGATCAACTACATCAAGTATATGTAGGAAAATAAAAACCTGAGTGTGATTCAAATCAAACATTTAAATCCCAACATCTTTTTATTTCAAATTAAAGTTAGGAAGAGTCATCAATATACTTCTAGTTTTTTTTTCCAAGCTTAGATTTTACAGTTTCTATTCAGATTGGTTGCCACGCTGCTTTTCTTTCAATTAATACAATATAATTGAAAAAGAGGACATAATTACTGAATCATGGAACTGTAAGAAGAAAAAAGAACAGACACCAAGTGTAATGAAAGCCAAAAACTTGTAAAGGCAAAGGATTTTCATAACAGAGTGATATAATAGTTTATCTGTTTACCTGAAGCCGCAAAAGATAATCAACTGTGCTAATGATAATATTCACTGTAGTAGTATTGCCCATTTGCGTACGCAGGTAATTCTGAAAATCTGAAAGGTAAAATAATTTGTGCTATATAAATTAAAGATTCAATATAGTCTTACTTATTTTCATTTTTTTTGTTCATTTAGAAAATGAAGAATTGTGGATTGTTTTGAAAGGAAATTGCATTCATAACCACCTGATACCACAGTAATTGTGTCTCTTAATATGAAAGAAGTGCAAACTTTTTAAAGAAAATTACATGAAATAGTAATTGCATAACTTATTACATAGCAAAACTCCTCACTTACTAGATTTGAATTTAATAAAATAGCAACTTGATTTGTATCTGGAAAGAACTTATACGTGTGAAAAAATATTTCTGAGTCCACCTCATCTGAGAAACTGATTAACTGTTGAAGAATTGAAAATCTATTTAAGTATGAAAGATATTGGAATAACTTATTTCCCCAAAGATTTAAATCAAACAGTAAATTGCTGAAAATATATTGCACATCACTTACCATTGTTATGACCTTCACACAGCAGTTGTAAAAATCTAAACAGATCTTTAGTAAACTCATCATTCTGTAGTACTTTCTCACCTTGAAAATATACAGTACAATGAATTACGCGATAATCAATTGTTTCTAAACATGCAGAACAAATAGTCTTTCAACAGCATCCTTCAAACTAAGTGATTGTAATAAAAAGCAAATACTGTAAGCTAATTTACAGTAGTTCGTTCTTTAAAAAAATAAATACTTTGGGGAAATGATAAAAGCAAACTATAAAACAGAAAAAGCAAAGCTAAAATATTTAGCACTCCAAAGCATTCATGATCAAACTACAGGACTAAAAATCTAATAGGAAATGGTTAGTCATTATCAAACCATGCCTTAGGTATGAAAGACGCTTCTTTAATTAAGCATCAAATTGTTTCTTCAAGCCCCATACACAATCATCTGCAGACCATGAAAGTTAACCTAAAAGATATCTATAAAGATGCAATTAAAGAAGATTTCTTTCTGTATTTGCCACACACAATAGCATCAAAAGCTGTAAACCCAAACATACCACGCTCACGTATGATGACTGTGGATCAAAGAAAAATAATAAGAATACAAAATAAGCAAGTTATAATTACATTAGATATTTTATTAAATGTTTTCTTGGAAACTAAATGAAACAGCACAGTTTAATCGCACATCATTTTATGGAGGTTAAATAAAGAGACTATTCAGTGTACTGAATAATTGAGCTGAAAAAGAAAAATAAATAAATGTAAATCTATCTGAATTCATTTATTGTACATACGTGTTCCTTCTTCAGTAACCATTCCAAGCCCTTCTGCTTTATTTTGTCTCTCGAAGGCATTCAAATCAAGAACACTTATTTAAAAAAAAAGACAAAAGATTTCTGAATCAAATAATAAGACTGAATAATAATTTAACAAATCATTCAAAAAATAAAAATGAATTATAAAGGTTTAAAAATGATACATTTCAAAGATGAAGTTTCACTGAAATCAGTATTAAATGCTTCTCTATCAATATTACATCCTAAACCCAAACCAGTTTTTAATATTCCTTCTGTTGATATCACTGCAATATATCAATTGAGACAAAAATTAATTTAATCCACTAAATGCTTTCTCCTTTTTTTCATCAATGGTAAGGGCAGTAAGAATCTGGTGTTCCTAGATGAACAGATTTACTGTTTAAATTGTTGTTATTATTAACAATAACGACCAGTTAAGAATGCTGGCATGAAAATATTGTAAAGAGTCTTAAAGGGCAAAATAATGCATGCCTCAGAACTAAATCCATCCATTGCTTCTCAGTTCACATTATCACATTTCCCCAGAGTTTTCAAAAAAACATGAATTTGGAGAGGTATATCCCGCTGAAGATGTAAAAGATCAGATTAGGGACAGATCTTCATAGAGAAAATCTATCTATATAGCCATTGACAACAACTTGATAGTACATGATCAGTCAAAATTCCATTCATACATGCAGGTTAGCCCAGAAAGTGTTTACCTGCAAGATTGCATTAAGCCAGAGATAGATTGGAAAAAACCAGCATCCTTTTTCTCTTTCAAATAATCCAACATTTTCTGAATCAGAGATTGAAAAAATATATATATTAAAAACAGTCTGAGTTTGTTTAATGATAAGAATATATTTTTGCTAGGACAAGAATAAGTTGCAATCTTAACATATTATTCGCACCTTTGGACTTGGCTTGGGAACTTGGATAATGTAAGCTTATATATGGTATGTTTAAAGGCTGTCTTGGCTGGACCCCTTGCTGCTGAGTGCTAAGAGTGGTGTCTGGAATTGGCAAGGAATTGGAGGTGGTGGGTTCTAGAGTAAAGCCTGGAATAAGGAAGGGGCTGGGGACAGCTGACATAGAATGAGATAAGGGCCATCACTATTATGACAGGCACAGGAGATATCACATAAATCTGAAAGAAACAACTCACAGACTGATTTATTGGATAACTATGATAATTCCTACCCACCAATCTTCAATATTCACCCTTGAGGATAGGTAACTGGATATCTTTTATTTATATACATACATACATACATACATACATACATACATACATACATACATACAATTAAGATTTTCACAGAAGTAGTGGATAAACGTTCAATAATGTAGAGTGAGATTTGAAAAATAAAGGTAAGAAAAAAGTGAAAAAAACAAAATATATCCAAAGAAATGACTTCCAATCTTCTTTACACCAGTTACAAAATTTATTTTCTCTCCTTCCTCATTAAAATTATATCCTAATTCTCTTCTGCTCATATTAAACTATTTTAATTAGCAAATCCATAAACTACCAGGTTTTTTCCCCAATTTTCTGCAAAAAAACCCCAAACATAATAGGTTTCCAGTCTTTAATAATTCCAGTCTTGTGGGACAAGTGATCAGGTCCTTGATGCATGATTTGATCATGGAGAAGTCTACCAACTTGGCTGGTATAGCTCAGACTCTAACCATAACCCTAACCCTGGGATTTATCTTGGGGTAGTTGCAATGTTATCTGAAAGTGAAGGACATTACTCAGTGGGTTTAGGTGCTATACAGAGAGCAATAATAGTTTGATTTGGCCATTATTTTTTCCAAAATTTTAAATCTAAAAATATGTGCAAATAGAAATAAATAAATAAAAGTAAACTTATGTAAAGTTTCCTACAAACTGGTATTGTCGCCTTTAAAAGTCTTAAAACCATATGCACCCACAGAGACAATTGCATAGCTATGAATGAGGTTACCTGTTGAACAACGGAGTTACCTCCATTTAGAACAGCAATACCAAGCTTCAGAGTTTCAACTACCATGGGCCCCATTTCACCTGTCAATCAGGAATACAGTGCTTACATTGTGGTCACAAAATGATCGTTTTAAAAGGTTCTAAGCTTAAAAACAAGTTGAAAATCAGATGGATAGACAATTGTTGCCAAGTGATTGCAACATCAGAAAGGAGTATAGCAGCTGGAAAAGTACTAGGGCCTGAAGGAGGAATTAGAGTAGATGTGGAAAATAAAGGTCAAAATGGTTCCAGTGGTGGCAAGAACACTCAGGCTGTGACTCCCAAACTGGGAGAGGGTCCTGGAATCCTCCACAGATCAAATTGAAAGCTCTCTGACCAGAAGAGTGCAGTGCTAGGAATAGCTAAAATAATATGCAAAACTCCCAAATTCTCAGGCCTCTGGAGAGGACCTGCAATTGAGGAAGGTACATATCACCCCTAGAGGTGAGAAGGGAATTTATTATACCTTGTTTAATGACTGACTGACTTTCTTTTCAAGACAGAATGAAATATATACATGCAAAGAAATACATAAATAAATATCAAATAGCCTTTCCGTTTTTACTGTATTACCTTTGCTGGCACTGATCATCTGCAATACCATTTCAGCAGCTCCACGTTCATGGAGTCGGGATTGCTGATAGAGGGTTTTCTGCTTTTCCATTTCTTTTTCCTGAATGTCAGAATGCAGATACATGTTAACATATTAGGGTATCTGTCATCAGTACCAAAAACTGTAAGACTTTGAAAACAATAAACTTTTTTTAAAAATATAAGAATCTTTCACAAACCTATTAAAACACATATTAAAAGAATAAATTAGCCATGATAATCACTCTAATGCAGCAACGTTTGTTAAGGGCTTATTTTTAAAATAATTTCCCTAACACATTTTTATAAAAAGTTTTCCCCACAATTGATACAGTAATAGGCATGGGATAAATGCTGCAAAAGGAAAAGTTTAAATTTTAAAAGAACAGTAAGCAACATTTGTTTTTTTTAAAAAAATATATGGAACAAAAGACAGACAGAAATTAAGGTGAAAAGAAGAAAGAAAAAAAAGTATAACATTATGTTAATTTATAAAGTTTTAATAAAATGGGCACCCTATCTCAAGTGACTGCATCATTTCTAATAGCTACATAAATTACGAAAGATCTGATTTTAAAGAAAACAACTAACTTCAAATGTCTTCTCTTTTTCTTCTTCCTCTTCCTCCTCATTACCATCTTGCTCACTCTGACAGCTCTTTTCTCATTGGAAAAAAATACAGACTCAGATAATGAATAAGCAGAAACAAGTCAAAGACATTTTAAAACCACAGTTCATAAGTGAAGGATTGATTGTTTCGTGGATAGATTTGCAAATTAATGTCTCAAAGATCAAGGTAGTTGTGTTTCAAAGAGAAACAAATGCAAAAAAATAGAGCAAGAGAATAAATGTACATACTATAGTGGAATGTTTACTAAATAGGGGGAAATGAATAAATTACAATATGAAAATTCCAGCAGAAAACTGGCCTGTAGTAAGTTTTTTCTTATAATGTATATATATTATATTTCATTGATATATGAATTGTTTTTAGAAATTTCTTCCACATCATTTTTCATATGTTTTCACATGTTTACATCTGGCCATGATTTTGCCCAGAGTGGAGTGTTGTTGTTGTTTTGAATAAACAAAGAAGAAAGAGTTGGGTAGGAATATCTATGTGTGCCAAAGTGAAGGAAAATTAAGATTCTATAATATTCTAAATTTCTACATTTAGGCAAGACTTTGACCTAAATTAGCAAGTTCAAGAGCTAGATTCATCAAGATGAGGGCAACTGTTGAAGAATTCTTTAATGAAGAAATGATTTTATCAAATTTTTGTTTGGTCTTTATTTTTCAGCACTAAATACTAATGAATTTACATCCAGTTAGATAAAAGTCTTTGGTAACAGAATTTACCTTATATTGTAAGTATATAATATTGGTTGATCTTGAAAAAATTAAATACTATTTAGATTCATTAGTAGAAGATAAACAGAAAATCTTGAACTGGAGATTAGACTGGGAAATAAAAGATGCCCCTGAATTAGGCAATGACAATTTCTATATTACTGTGAAGAAAGCTACAGATACTTCCATGAAAACACTACAAAATCCAGCTCAACTCAAAGATAATTTTATCTTTTATTACTAGGAATACTTCTTTTTTCTCCAAAATTTGCTGTTGGATTGTTTTATCCATTTTTTAACATTGTTTTTTCTGTGGCTTTTTATGTTTGATGGTGTGCTGATACAGTTAGTTAAAAAGATAGATTCGTAACATCATTAGTAATAGAATCTATTATTAACAGTAAAATGGCAGTCACTAATAGAAAATGCTGAATATTATTTTAAGATTTCAGATCTACTTGAAAATAACAGAGATGGCATTCTAAATATAATTTTTTTTAGGTAGATATTGAAATTACTCACCTTTGCCATCATTGCTGAATATGTAGTGTACAAAGGATCATTTTCTAGTTTACTGTAGAAAAGTATGAAATAAATACATTTGTTCCTGGAAAGGTTTTACAAGTTACTGAACTGAAGTTCCAGCTTTTATTAAAGCAGGGAAACTTTCATCTTGTTACAATCCCATGATACATGATACGATCTTATAAGCTTATAGGTATAGATTCCATATCAGATTCTTTATTAAAACATGTATTTACCAAGTTCTTTTGCAATTGAAGGATCTATCTATTTACCTCACATGGGATTTTTTTTTCTATTATACCTTGGAAATGGTTACAAAGATTCTAGCCATGGCTTTGCTATACATCTGATAATTATCTCTGATCATATCAAATAAAATCAGTTCCGACAATAACAGAAAACTTTAATTAATTCTAAGTGTTTTACTATTGTTGTGTTAAAAGGATTTTGGGAAACTTGCAAAATTCAATCCAAAAGAGATATATGCATTCAACTTTAAACATTACCTTTCTTTCTGCTCCTTAATCTGTAAGATTAAGTCTGCATTAAATAGCACAGTATTACCTTTCATTTAAAAAAAAAATCCAGAAAACATTTTAAAATGACCATGCAAACAGGTACCACATCCAATTTGATATTTCACAACATCTTTAAAAACAATAAAAAGGTATTTAAGAAAACGTGGGGTAAGGAAGGTGAAATTCTGTGTTTTTGAGGTCCTATGTTTGGATATATTATATGCATTAACATCTTGTAATTATTTTCTAGTTATGAGCATGGTGGCATAGTGGTTAGAATGCAGTACTGCAGGCTACTTCTGCTGACAGCTGGCTGCCTGGAATTTGGCAGTTCAAATCTCACCAGGCTCAAGGTTGATTCATCCTTCCAAGGTCGGTAAAGTGAGAATCCAAGTTGTTGGGGGCCATATGCTTGCTGACTCTAAATCGTGAGGGGTGTAAAGCACTGTGAAGCAGTATATATGTCTAAGTACTATTGCTATTCCTTGTCATTTCTTTTGTCAAATTAATCGTATGCTATTATTTTTAATGTTGCTCTTTATAGAGTTGGGTAGCATAACAAAGGCAGGAAGGAAAGGAAGGAAGTAGTAAGTTAGTTACCTTCTTTCAGTGAGAGCATTCCGACTGAAATGAAGAATAATCTGATGTAGAGGATCTGGATGGTTTTCATCCTCTTCTTCCTCATCTTCAGTTGTTTTGGGTGGAGTCTGTGCAAACATCACATTGGAATTTTATACATAAAAAGGATGTAATAGGAGAAAAAAATAAGTATCATTTTCATATTTTAATATTTTATATTTTCATATTGATATTTTAGATGGAAGATTCAATTATGCAACACCTTTTCTTATATAAAATCAGCATTTTAATAGTAAAATGTTCATAAATTTAATTCCCTTTGAACTGACTTATGTTTACTTATAAATAAAATTGTATAGGCTTGCATAATCAGAACCTGTAATGGAAAAATCTTGAGCCTAATTAAAAATCAGACTATTTTTTCTAGAAACAGATCAAGCTTATTACCTGAAGTCCTATTTGGTTTGTCTGGTTATCTAGATCCCTCTAAACCTGCCCACTATAGTTCAGCATGTCATGTGACTTTAGCCCCATATGGTAGATCAGAGTAGGGAACCAATGCCATATAGACAAGTGCTACTTTTATTGTACAGCTAAAGTAATAGAGTTTTGCAAGTCTGAATGTGCTTCCCCCCTTCCCTCACTTTTTTTTTGTGTAAACTAGAAAGAGGCAGGTCTGAACTGCTTAAGAAATTTGTTTCTTGAAATAAACTCAAGCTGTGCTTGCCTGATCATTGTCTTGGTGGCACCTCATTCTCCTGTCCTTCAAGACCATTTCCTATGCTCACTAAACTAGAGTCTTCATACTTGCCTCTGCAATAACGATTGGAAATTGCTGTATCAACACCATTGAATCATCTGCAACTGGCAGCAAAGGAAGCAATTAATATCTGTGATTGGCATTTGTCTCCCTTATCCTGGGAATTAGAGTTCTTTCAGTTTGAATGATCTACCTACTTACCTACCTATCTACCTTCCTTTCATCCTTCCTCCCTCCCTTCTTTTTTTGCATGTCCTGGACCAAAGTTATTTATTTATTTTTACACAAACACAAACACACACACACACACACACACACACACACACACACATGCTTAATCACAGCAGAACACAATTGTGTAATCTCCATCATAGGAAATTCAATGCATGTTTTACAACAAATTAACAATATCAAAATAAACTCTCTGAAGAGAGCTACGTATAGTTATATGCCATTTACCAGTTATGCACCTCCCTGCAATGATATTCTCAACTAAATGTTCCCATCTGATGAATGAGAATAATAATCTGATTATTGTGTTGATGGCGTAATAGATGTTTTCGTTGCTAAGTTACCATATGATTCATTGTTCTTTAAGCTGCAATAGACTAGCACAGAAGTGGTTTAGAAAATTCTCACTTTGTCTTTCACAGAGATTTCCACCATTTTATAAAAAAAAGTAACAGCTATATTTAAGTGAATAATCTGTCCATCTGTTTAATACATTTAAGTAAAAAAGAAAAAAGAAACCATTGCCCTTTAAAAATATCAAAGAGTACTATCAAATACTATCAAAGAAGTCTACTTGTTAAGGGATCAACTTCTTAAAATATTAAGAGAACATTGAGAAATCCAGAAATATGAATGTGTGATCTGCCACCGTCTGTGAAATGTAATTGAAAGAGACAGGGTTATTCTATACTTAATACCAATGTAGAATTAGCCTGTCAGGTTAGTGGAAATACTGCATCAATGATGCAAATGCATTTTAAGGAATATAAATACATCAACTCATAAATCTATTAGTCTCTTCTACACTGTTGGATATTGCTTTTCTGCCAAGAAAACATTAAAATTGGCAAGTAGGGTGAACCCATCATTTCACATATAGAAAATAATAGTTCTATAAATTACTGCTTAATTAATCAGTTAAAAAGAAAAGAGTTAAAAATTTGGAATTTAAAAAATGCATTGTCAAATAAAAATTCCATTGCCTAAAACACAAATCTGCCATACTTGTTTCTAATTTGTTAGATGCCACTGTATTATAATATCAAGGAAAAGGGAGATAGCTTGTACGAAAAAAAACACCAAGCGTTGGCATATTAAAATGAATCAAATAGACAAAATGCCAGTTAACAACAACAAAAAAACCCCAACATTCACCATATTTAAAATTTCAAAAAATTAAACTAATTTAAATTAAATTTTAATTTAGGAATTAAATTAGCTGTGATTTGATCTAGTTAGTTTCACTCCAAATGTATACAGTAACAAAATAAAGATTTGATACAGTGTTCATATCATGGCATAAAATATAGCAGGATGGTATATATGAAAGTGTTTATAAGTGTAGACAAGAAGGCATTGTAGACTCAGCCCAATTTTATCTGTACTTACAGCCAAATCCTGAACCAGTTTCTCCTCAAAGGAATATTCTTCTGTTTCTATCCAAAATTTCTGATAACCATGAAGGAACAGATTAACAGAACGGTGCCTAGGAGTAGGGGTGAAAATGAAATCGAGAATTAAAGCAGAATAAAATATAAAAGCTTAGAAGATTACTGACCAGTAAAACCAATAGATTCTGTACAATTCAATTCAAAAAGCATTAAAATTAAAGAATGTTCAGCAAAGTTTAAATAACATAGATGACAAGTATTGTTTTAATAAGCTGCATCAGACAGAAATCAAAACATGAAAATAAGGCTATTGGTATGCTTATATTTTACTGAACACTTCAGAATTCAATTTCCCATAGATGTAAGTCTTTGTTTTTCTATTCTTTTCAATAAAGACAGTTGGGGAAAAAACATACTTTACTTTGATGCAATTCTAAATTGACTCCTTACCACTATGATGTCCACTGAATGCAAATGAACAAAAAAACATGAACTATCCATTTCATATCTTTATATTTTACTTTAAGAATGTTATTTTTAACCAATGTAAAATGAATCTAAGTATGCCATTTCTTTACACTTTGTCTAATCATGATGTCCTTATCAATTTGGTTTATTATCAACTTCACTTACAACTTTAAACCAATATTTTTAAACTGTAATTTCTCTAGAACACAATAATTATTTGATTTGCACCTTATGTTTTTCCACAGTTAATAAGTGTGCACAGCATGGAATTCTTTCTAACCTTATGTAGGTTTTTAAACAAATCCATTTTGGTAGAAACTATGTGAAGCTTTAATATTATGTTTCAATCTGGGCAGTGATTGTGGCAGAATTATCCATGATGAATTTCAAACGCATAAAACATTTTCCCCACCTTCTTCAATTCAAACCCAGTATTTGAAACATTTGATCCATTTTAAAGTAAAAGCAACTTGTTGTTGCTATGGAGTTACTTAATTATGGTTATATAGACTTCAAATCATAATATTAATCGCAGTTTCCAACAAGTACTGAACTGTGGTTAATCAAAAAGGAGGTGGAATTTTCCAATAGCTCCTTGGAAATTATGTAATTATAGAATATTATAGAAGTTTGTAACATAACTAATTGCAACTGGTATAATGTTGCAGTTCAATATGTGTGCAATTAGTTTAATAGAAGTTAATTCAATATGGGTAAACCAGAATGTTGTATTTCATTGGAGCTGTGCAGTCAAACACACGCCACCCCAAATATTCAGTCAGACTTTGAGGTTTCTATGGTCTCTTTAAATATGAGAAGGTGGAGAATTTTCTTAAAGAAAAATAATGTCGCCTTCCTTCCATTCCACACTCCTTCCATTCTTTACTGTTATGTGGAAGGGAGGGAGAGAGTAAGGGCGGGATGATTTTTAAACAAAAGACAAAAATAAAGTTGTTGAGAATGAGTGTTTCCCTCTTTTCATATAAAGAGCAAAAAAAAATAAAAAAATACTGCTTGGATTTTCAGGAAAAGGATTTCCCAGAAGTCTTCTTCCTCTTACAGTGGAGATATTCCCAATTAACAAAAGACAGGTGAATATGGGAAAGCATTCTTTTCATGAATTTCTGTTATGCTAAGGTCTCTTTTGACCCATATCTGACTTGGAGTGACTAAATTTCCTCCAAGGCTGGGTTCCTGAAGCCACTACTGCTGGTTTGCTTGTGGGTGCGCAGCATGCACGTGCATGCACAATACAATAAAAAAAATTCTGCACATATGCAGAAGCCAAAAACAAGGAGAACCAGTTCAAGTGCATGGCAGACCTTGGTCACTGCTGGTCTCATCCATATACCAACCTAAATTATCCATTATTTTATTATGCACTGCTGAAAGTCACCTTATGTGAGATGGGCAACACATCAATTTGATAAATAAATTTAAAAAGAATAAAGCCAGAAGGAAAACAAAAGTAGCCATAATATAGAAAGCTGCTTCTGCAGGTGCACTTATGTTTTCTTCTTTCCCAATCCAACTATATATAATTTGATATGAAGAATTACATTACTTAGTAACTTAAGATAATTACTATGCATATGTGCTGCAAAATAGTTTGGCTAAGTTTATTAGACAGGTAACTGTTGGAAAGGAAAACTATTTATTCATTATATTTTAATGCCTTCAAAATATTTAGTAACATTAAGACTTAAGTGGCAGGAGAAATTCCAAATTGTGAAGAATATTGGTTTTCAATCAAGACGATCATGCAAATATACCTGAAAGAACTGCCTTCCGGCCAAACCCTAGAGCAGAGGTGTCAAACTTAAGAGCGGGAGCCTGGATCTGGCCCACAGGGTGCTTAGATCCACCCCGCAGGGCTCCCCTGGAAACAGTGAAGGACTAGCCTGAAGTGCCTCTGCCAGTGAAAACAGAGCTCTATTTTCACTGGCAGAGGGTTGCAGGAGGCCGTCGCAGCTGAAAACAGAGCTCGTGAGCCTGTTTTCACTGGCAGAGTGCTCAGGCCACCACAAGCGCCCCTGACATGAGTGATGTGAAGCTGCCACACCCACCCTGGCAATGCCCACCCTGGCCCCCTGAGGTCAAACACAACCCTGATGCAGCCCTCAATGAAATCAAGTTTGACACCCCTGTCCTAGAGTAGAGGAGCTGAGTATAAAACAAATCATCAAATGTTTTTTTAACATTTTGAATTCCCATTTGTTTCAAAAAAGTTATAAGTTAAAAAAAGGAAAATGTCAGAAACTTAGATTTGCATATAAAAGCATGTTGGAAATTGTGTTCAAAGAATACTAATTGCATAGCATATGCAAACAATCAAGGTTATTCAAAATAAAATATCCAGTAATCTCTTCAAACAACCTCAGGAACAATACATCTTTACAGAGCTGCCTATGTGGGAGAGAGAAAATCTCCCCACAACAATGTTACGCCTTCTTCCGCTCTTCTTCCACCGCCTCTCCTATTCTCCTGATCCCAAAAACATACTGTAGCTAGTTCTATGCATGTTCTGTAGCATCTCTAAAATTATTTGTTTAATTCATGGATACAGTTTTCATTGCAAGCAAAGTCACTGCTGTTCAATATGCGTGAGCGCTGAATGAGAGATGAAAGGATGGAACTGGCAAATGCTGGTAATGTTATGTATCTCTATGAACCTTGAACATACAATTAATATACATTTGGAAGTAATGTTTTTTTTTTAAATTTTGACAAAATCCTTAAATGTGTGATATTAATTGCATAGAAAAAAACACTATATTTAAATATACAGTCCTTTTTTCCATGTTGCCAGTCTGGATTGAAGTGGTTAGATTTATATATCTGGGGTCTGGGGGAAATATATAAATATCTCCCAAAGCATTGACTAACTAGGTACTGTATTTTTCAAAGTGTAAGACGGACCGGAGTATAAGACGCACCAAGATTTTGAAGAGGAAAAATTTTTTTAAAAGGTTTTGCACTCTGCAGACCTCCCAAAAATGGCCCATTTTTCACGGAAATGGAACTTTTGTCAAAAAAAAAAGGACATGCATAGCATATAAGGGGCTTGTAGAGTCTCCTGGGGGTTGGGTGGGCAAAAATGAGCAAAAAACAGCCCATTTTTCACTCATTTTGCCCTCCCCAGCCCCCAAGACCACCCTGAAAGCTTCCTAAAGGCTATGCATGGCGATTTTTGCAAAGGGTGTGGGGTTTTGGGAGGCCAAAAATGCTGCATTCAACATATGAGACGTACATTTTCAGCCTCTTTTGTGAGGGGAAAAAGGTACGTTTTATACTCCAAAAAACATGGTAATTCACATAATCAAGCCCAACTCAGTTGTTTTAAAGTAATCAGAAGTTTCTCTAAAACACATTGGTTAAAAATGATAGAACTTTATCAAAAGCCATTGAAGCTCATTTGCAAGATGCTGAAAACATTTAATAATGACAGAAGTAATGAATAGTGTGGGTGACTTCAAATCATTTGACTCCTGGCAACTGACTGGACTATCCTTGTAGTGGTTTGCCATTTCCTCTTACCTAGGGCTAAGACAGAACGACAGGCCCAAAGTTGCCCAGAGTTGCTGTATCATTGAGATGGGTGGCATAGAAATTTAATAATCAATCAATCAATCAATCAATCAATCAATCAATACATTCATGCCCAGAAGACCTCAAAAGGGATTTGAAAATGGTGTGCTGAATCTTCAAGCCATTGCCTCTGGTTCACCCCTTCCCAATGTAGAATCAGATAGGCATTATGCTTTTCAACAATGCAAGCAGTATTCAGAAATAGCATATATAAACATTTTTTAAAACTATGTACCTTGGCAGATTATACAATGGTGCCATCCTGAAACAAGCTACAACAGCTCTTTTGCGTTGTTTAGACAAGAGTTTGTGCCAAACTGCTTTCTTTGATCTTAGTGGTTGCTCAACCTATGGACAATATGAATAAAGATACTTTAACTGATTCTCACCTGATCCAATGACGAAAAAAGTTAATAGTTACAGTATATTACATGATATGTTGGCAACAGTTCTTGCCTCCCCAATTAAAAATAGAATTTTCATTGGAAGTTAAAAAAAAAAAACTTTTTGTTTTAAAGCTTATGACATTCAGAAAACAGAAATCTCATTAGATTTGGTGGTTTCCTAGAATTTTAACAATTCCTCAAGAAAATCTTAAAATCACTAATAATACTATATTACAGTATCTGGGGGTCTATGGAAGCTTGTGGCTTGATTGTCAATCTCTCCCTTAGACTATAACTGTGATATAAAAACAATAATGTGTTATAATGTTTTATTGTTAGATTGCCTTATAATCACTTTGCAAACATGCCTTGTACACTATCAAATATTAGTATTAGTATGCAAACATCCATTCTCTCTGCTCTGTTTCAACATATTACTTAATCCTCCAGAAAGATCCCTAAGGGCTACAGAATTTCCTTGCATATAAAATGCTCAGCTCAGCTCGATCCAGCCCGATTCCAGTTATATTCATTGTTCAAGATCAGTTTGTTGAGGTTAGATGTTAATGCCTTATTTTACTGCACCAAAGGAGTCGGAAGTCAATGTCTTTTTTCCTTTTTTCTCCTTGCTTTCCCCCACTATCCACTTTCCTTTTCCCTCCCCTAACTTCCCTACTATTTACTTTTGTATTATCCTTGTATGCCATATTATAAACTAATAAAAAAAAATTAATAAAAAAAGATCAGTTTGTAGAGTTCCTATTTACTCTATTTAACCATGGATCTTCAGCCCATATCTTTTAAACATCAAGTAATATTTTTTACCTGTTCCAGATGATAGACAGCTGCTGAGATCCTTTGCACACGTGCAATAGTTTTCTCAGGATCGGCAGGTTCATCAGTTTTTAAGACATCTTTGTAGAGATTCAGCTGCCATTTCACAGCAGGGTCATCTGACTATATATCAAAAAAAATTATCCAGTCTTATGCGTACTTAATATTAAAATATATAGGGCACTTATTTAAATAAAAATTATTGCCATTTTTTGCACCACTGTACCTGAAGCAAGGGGAAAAGCTATATGCTTATTTCTTGGAAGGAAAAAAATGTGATATATTAGAAAATCAAAGGCAGGAAGACACTGCAGAGCTTCATTGTGCTATGAGTATATAATTGTATTATTTTGTAGACTTGTCTCCAGATAATCTCCAGTCCCTCCTTGAGAGAGATGGGAGATCTGGAAAGACAAAATATAAACAAATATAACTAACTGACTAAATAAAATCTCTTTTTTCCCTGGGCACTGCCTACATTGGTCCAATGATACTCTGATTAAAGGTCTCTTCCCTTCTATGGTACTAGGGAAAAATTATCTCACCATATGTACAAGCTTGTTCCTAGTTCTTCCCCTTGTAGTAAAAACAAAAGAAAGAATTTTTTTGTGCTAGTCTAAAAACTGTTGTTACACCATTAGTAAATTTTGGAGGAAATTAGACTATAGTATAAATATATTCCTTTTCTGTGCCACACTTATCCTGTCTGTGACTCCAACGTTGACAGTGGAAAATTGCCTGCCAGTGGAAAATTGGGGAAATTTGTGATCAGCATATTGGGGATACTATATTGGTATAATTTATGGCCACACTATTTTGTGTCAGTAAACTCTTTAGCTTGCTACATGTTTTGTATCTATACATGCCATATTCATTCCTTGGCATGACTGCCACAGCTGGTAAAAGTTGAACCTCAACATCTGGAAATCAACCTGTTGCTCATTCATATTATTTCTTCATAATAAATATAACTTAGCTATAGGATTACTCTATTAAATGATGAAATATATTAACATGCTTTTTGACCTCAGAAATATATTTAACTAACAGGTTTTTTGCCATTTTGAATATTACCTTTTCCTGCAAATGCAAGTTATTGCGTAAATGTTCTTTAACTTCTTCTTCAGTGTCTTTCTGCAGATAAATAAAGGCACATTGATCTGGGTCCTCTTACATATATTTTGACCAATAATAAAGACAGAATACAACCTATTGGGATATGGCTGCATACTCTATATAAAATAAAAATAAAAAAGCAAACTTGTAGTAAGGAGTCTCCTGTAGCTATGTGTCCTTGTGTAGTTTAAAGTCCAATAATACACAAATATTCAGTGTACTTGCTAGGTTTTGAAATGTTTGAAAAATATTTGTGAGATCATCTGAGTATCTGAATTAGAAGGATACTTCTTATATCATAAGGAGAAAAGATGATATCTATAATTAGATAGAGATAGATGATAGAGATAAATATGTCTCAGATTTTGAATGTTGGCACCAAATCAAACCCTCCCTCCCTCCCAACCCCCTCTAATAATCCTTTCTTAAATTTATTTGTTTGCTCATTTCCATGCTTTGTATATTTCTAGATGTGTATGGTACTCATATCTGAAAGCGGCACAAATGGTTCAAACCCATCATGAGTATCTCCTTTAGAGGAGCTTTTCTTGAGTTCAGGTTCAAGTTCAAGTTTTAAGTGTTAAGGAATTATTATGGAGTTGGCAACACCTGAACTGAAACAAGTATTTGCCTGAGCTGGAAAAGTTGTGGTGCCTTTAAAGAGCTGTCAATAAGCACATTGAGTGTATCAACATCAGACCTGAATTACCTTTGTCCACTTCAGATTCAAATACTGCATGTCTTTATTTGAAACCTTTCAGATTTCAATCAGTAAGAGTAAAATATTGACTTACACAGCTGTACCTGGACTTAGCAAGAGAAATCAGCTCTTGATCTCCAGGGGTACACATGTTCAACCCAATGGGGAGCATTTTTTTAAGTGCAGCTACAATCAGAGAAGTCTGTATTGAATATAAATCCCCTCTATGTTTTGCTTTTTTTCGTTCTTGATCATGACCTCCAGACTACAAAAAGGAGACATGTAGAATACAAAGCACTGTTAATTCTTTCATACTAAAATAAATACCGTTCCAAATTATGCAATTAAATTTAGATATTCATATTAAAAATGCTGAAAGCATTTGAACATTTACCCGTTTGAATAGTAAAACCAAAGTGAACCAAAAGACTATCATAAAAATGCACGATTTTAGTGGCATTTTATAAGAAAAATACTGTAGAAACTGTAATTTTCAAGAATTCAAATATCTTTGCAATTTTCAGGGAAATAAATATATTTCTGTAATTTTTCAGTATGCATATGGTGATAAAAAACACACACATAAACAAACAGCATTTGAAATGGATAAAGTATGATGCCATTTATAATTTTGAGGATTTCAGTGTTTGAGATATTTGCCTGTACAACATGTAAGAAATATAAAGTGTGAATTCCACAAAACTGAACAATTGTAAGCAAGCGCACTAGAAAACTATTTTGCTGTAGAATCATTGTCAAATTATCTTGCTACATTGACAGCAGCTGTGATCACCTGAAGTATACAGAGAATAAGCCTTTGGAAAAAGATATCAAATGGGCTGCACATTAGCATTACATTTAACCTGTTCATGATGCACACAATGTACAATTTCACTGGGAAAAAACTTTTTAAACTAAGGCAATAAATCAAAGCTCTGGGCAACAGCATTGGTGTTTATCACTACTGAAATGATACTAGAGACAGATTAAGATTAAACAGTTAAAATTGTTATCTTTTTTGAATCCCATGCATAAAAAGATGAATAATGACCCTGATGAGAATTGAGCCACATGTATGAATTCAAGACTGGGCTCATATAATGAATCTACCACAATTAGAAACTCTTTTCTATTAATTCATCATGTCTTACAATACAATAGCAGAGTTGGAAGGGACCTTGGAGGTCTTCTAGTCCAACCCCCTGCCTAGGCAGGAAACCCTATACTGTTTCAGACAAATGGCTATCCAACATCTTCTTAAAGACTTCCAGTGTTGGGGCATTCACAAAGGAGATTTGAAGGCTCTGGGTCTTATATTCTACTCTACACTTATAAAATAAACTGTAATAACTTCGATTAAAACAGAAAAGAATTCTCAGAGCAGTCACATATTTTATAAATTGTTGTTAAGCTCTCCTTTTAATAGAATATATCCAAACATCTAGCCATATTTTTGGTATTCAGTGAAAATCAAAATATTATGCTTTCCTCAAGGACACGTAATGGCAACACTTTGCCTCAAAGCTTTGTTTGTGGAATGCCTTCAAAAAGTTTTTTTTTTATAGTAGCAGTGGATTTAATGACATTAATTGCTACTTGACTTTCATAGCAGACAAACAAATGTCACAATTTATCACAGGACTCAATGGCGTCACTATTCTCTTAGGCAGGAGAATATCTGATACAACTTCCCCTCCCCCTCCCCAATAAAGTAATCTTTTCAGTTTGTGTGACCATAAATTTCTCCCTGTATCTATCTATCCATTCTGTGTCTGCCACCAAGTTCCAGTTTTTCTAAAAGGAAACTTTACCGCCAATTATTAAAACATCCATAATGAATAATGAAAGCTTTATTAATAATATTGATTCATTTTTGTTACATGCTGATTGACAGCTATCAATGAGCTTAGTTCTTAACTTTCTTCTATTCATTGGCCCATAGATGAATTAAGCATGTATGTACTTTGCTTTTTATAAATGCAGGAGGAAAAAACGGGAATGGAAAACCAAATCTTCTACATCCCAAATTTTTCCATCCAACATTGAGGCAGGACACTGTTCACTTGAAATGATTATTGCCTTCAAGTTTTGAGAAGAAGATCAAGAATAATTGGTTCTTCTTAAAATAAAAGTGAATTTCTTCCTAAATCTGATTTTTGGGGGAGAGAGTATTAGTAAGTCAAATATCAGACATATTAGATGTCACTGTATCCTGTGCCATAGCTCATTGCTTCCTACAAAGCTGGATTCGCAACACCAGTCTGATTCTACAAATGGTTCAGTATTTGAGAGTAAATAAGACATGTGATATCATTTTAGTTTATGTCAGGTATTATTGATAAATTTGTGGTGATATTAGAAGTTTATTGGCAAGGAAAGTGAATGATGCCATGCTGTTCACCAAGAACCTAAATGATTTTCCTCAAGCATTAACTAGATTGTAAACCGAAGTAGATATGTCTGAAAAAATGGTGTGAATTACACACAAAGCATAAATAGCAGAAACCTAGATCAAATAAAAGAAATTGGTAGAATATTAATTAAAGATGAGTTTATAAATATATATAAATCATTTAAAGAAAACGGGGGTTCTATTGCAAGGAATGAAAAAATATCAACATACAATATGAGAAAATGGCTGTGTTTTGCAAATTTTGTTAGATGAAAGGAAGAGCTGAATGTATCAGGAGAAACACAAAAATAAGTTGAATGTAGTGGATCTCTCTCTCTCTCTCTCTCTCTCTCTCTCTCTCTCTCTCTCTCTCTGCGTCTGCCTGCATGTTGTTTGTGTGTGTTAAAACAAAAACAGAAAAGGAAAACAACAAATACTTATGCAATTAATGTAGATGAAATACAAGAGTGACCAGGGAATTGTGAAGATATGACCAAGAAAATCATAGATGGAACTGATTAAATTCCTGAGAAAGGTGAGAAATTTAAAAATAGCTTGTAAAGTTGGAAGAAAACTTTAAAAAAAAATCTAGCGAATGATGCTAATCTAACTGGATATAGGTACATTTTGTTTTCTTTCATATCTTGCCTTTGATTTCTTTTTCTTACAATTTCTGGAGGAGAGATTCCTGCACTTTCTATAATGTTGCTTACCATAAATAGAAATATTGAGATGAGATACATGTCGGTGTGAGTGAAGATATACTGAATCTATCTACTCCCACTCATCCACTTATAAAGGCATGTTATATTATATGAAAAGTATGCTAAAATACATAAAGAATACTGGGAAGACTTTTTTTAAAATTCAAATACCATCTCTTTCCTCCTCAGTAACAGATTTTGAAATAATAAACACCAACTTGGAAATGATTGCTGAAGCAGTCAGGTTTTTTTGTTTTTTTCCAGACTAGGTGAAGATTTCTCGAATGGGTTGCTATTGTTGCTGCTGATGTCTCTTGGTTATTAGTTCTTTGTGGCATATGTAAAAGGTCCCAAGTCACAAATAAGTTTATAGACATTGATTTGGTTTACTTCATTAAATCTGGTTCAGCTCATGGATACCAATCTGCTTACCTGTGCCTTCTTTGATGCCTATCAAACTTCCTGGCCCACCTAATTTATTTTACTGTGTGACTTTTTTTAAAGATAGGAATATAGCATGATACAAAGCAACACTCCTATGTATGATCTATATTTTCACAAGGCTGATAGGTCCATTATAGAAGGTCTATCACTCAGCAGGCTATCTGGCAACTCTACACAAGTGAGAGAATTGGAAGTTTCTGTGCCCAGGCATGCATTGGCAGGAGATCCTCCTAAGAGCAAGGACAACATTTCTCTAATTGGGCTTGAACTCATGTCATCTGTCTCCGGAAAACTTTTGGAATGGAAACAGTAAAGTTTTAAGGGAAAGTATATGAAGATACATCAAGGATCTTTTATTCGTTTTCAGTGCAGCTTTTACTCAATTATATTGCTTTATTTTTGCTCGCGTTTGATGACCTTCTTTCTCTTTGTTTCCTCAGTTTGTTTACAAATTAATGACTAATATAGTTAGCATAAAATGTCAGCCTCATGGAAATTAATGCAGCTAACTCATTTCCTCAGGTCTTTACTTCGTTGCTTTTATTGAATTAAAAATCCTTTAATCTTTGCAACTCTAGTGTTGGGTTTTGAAATAGCACCATGTGCTCTAAAATCAATTTGGCCTAGTAATTCTGGTTAAAAAGAAAATAGTGGAGACACTTACCATATTTTTGGAGTATAAAACACACCGGAGTATAAGACGTACCAAGATTTTGAAGAGGCAATTTTTTTTAAAAAACTAGCTGGGTAGATAGAGGGATAGACAGGGAGAGAAAGAGAGAGAAATACAGCAGGTAGGTAGAGAGAGAGAGGGTATGTAGGTAGGTAGGTAGATAAAGGGAGAGAGAGAGAAATAGAGAGATAGAGAGAGGGTAGGTAGATAGAGGGATAGAGAGAAATAGAAAGAGATAGAGAGAGAAATACAGTAGATAGGTAGGGAGAGAGAGTAGGTAGTTTGGTAGGCAGAGGGATAGAGAGAGAAAAATATATATAGAGAGAAATACAGTAGATAGGTAGGGAGAGAGAGAGTAGTTAGTTAGTTAGTTAGATAAAGGGATATAGAGAGACAGAAAGCGCTAGAGATAGAGAGGGAGAAATACAGTAGGTAGGTAAGGAGAGAGAGTGTGTGTAGGTAGGTAGAGGGATAGAGAGAGAGAAATACAATAGATAGATAGGGAAAGAGAGAGTAGGTAGGTAGGTAGGTAGGTAGGTAGGTAAATAAAGGAATAGAGAGAGAGAAATAGAGAGAGACAGAAATACATTAGGTAGGTAGGTAGGTAGGGAGAGAGAGTGTGTAGGTAGGTAAGTAGGTAGGTAGGTAGAGGGACAGAGAGAGAGAGAAATAGAGATAGAGAGAAATACAGTAGATAGGTAGGTGTTTCTGCTGGCACAGCACTTGATCAATGTAATTCTCATCAATCAGTTAAAGAGCTTTCCAAAAGGGGAACAAAAAAGTTTTTGCACTCTGCAAACCTCCCCAAAACC